CTTTAGTCTGTGATATGGGTGTTCCACAAGGCAGCATTCTCGGACCATTACTTTTTCTTTTATAGATCAATGATCTTCCTCAAGTGTGCAAATATTCAAAACGCTTACTGTATGCTGATGATACTGTTATTTTTCTCTCTGACTCAAATCCTAATGTCATAAATTCCAAATTATCGTCTGATCTTCAGTTCTTACAAGATTGGTTGAAAAATAATCATTTGACTATCAATGTAAAGAAAACTGAGTGTACTTTCACTCCCCCAGAAAATGTATTACATTCACTGATCCAATCACCTTTGCAAGCCAAGATCTTCACAAAGACCTACAAATATCTTGGTGTGCTACTCGATTCACATCGTATACCGTGAACACACCTCTAAACTAACTACTAAGCTGAGTCACAAACTTTATGTGTATATTAAGATCAGACAATATCTGTCCTTCTCTGTTTCTGAAACGTACCTACATGCAATTGTGTTTTCATCAATTTCCTACTGTCTTCCAATCTGGTCTTTTACCACTAAGGAGATTACTGAACCAATAGCACGACTGTACTATCGAGCTCTTAAGATCCACATTAACCTCCCAAAGTGGTCACACCATTGCTCTGCACTCACCCGCTCCAACGCCTTGACTTTCCAGAATTACATACACAGCCCCGCCATTACATACTATTTTCAGATTAAAAACAGCACTTTACCAACACTTGCTGCACTTCTACCGACACATAATATGAGACAAGTGCGCCTCACTAGGTCAGTCTCCAGGCACTCATCCCAGTCCCTGCATACAAAAACAACTATGGTCGGAAGTCCTTCTTTCATACATACACCAAAATTTGGAATGACATTCCCCATCACATTAGAACTTTACCATCTACCTCATATTTCAAAAATACATACAAATGACAACTTCTCCACACTTAGACCTGCACTCATTAATTGTTCATGTACTGTTAGCAGTATCTGTACTGTTTGTCTCTATTTGTCTGCCTAGCCCATGCTAATGTCCTGTAAATGTGTTTGTCTTGATGTGTCATGACTGTGGTTTATGTTTCATGTTCCACAGAACAGGAACCTGCTGGAAACCAGTTTTTAAACTGAGTCAGGCCCGTTAAACTGTAACTTAATGTTACTTTTAAACTTTCCTGTAATGAAAGAATGAATGAAATGAAATGAAAATGACACAGTGTTCTCACACACACCCCGCTCTGTTGGACGTGGAGGTGGTACAGGTATCCTCATTTCTAATATCTGGAAATTCAATAAACTCTTCCCACTGAGCAACAACTCCTCATTTGAATATCACACAATCTTGGTTATTGCTCCTATTAAAATGCATTAAAAACAGGGCTGAGGTCAGCAGAGAGAAAATGGCAAAAATCCAAACAGTCCGCTGACCTCAATGACTATAAGCAAAGACTTGTTTCATTCTCCTCCAGCCTGAAAACGGCCAAGACAACATATTATCAGAACAAGATATGCAATGCCACAGATACAAGAAAAATGTTTTCTGCTTTTAACTTACTGCCTCAACCACCTCCTCCTCCACCCTCAGATCTGTTCACACCAGACATGTTTGCCTCGTATTTTACTGAAAAGGTTGCAACTATCAGTAACCAGTTTTCTGAGCCTGACCAACTCAGCCCAAAGGCACCAATCAAAAGTGCCTCACTCGACTCATTCTCCTCTCTGACACTCATCTCAGGATCTGCCCTCTGCTGGTTCATGTCCTACGATCCTTTAGAGTGTTGTGGAAGGGAGAAGTGTCCAAAGCGCACAGCTTATCCACAGGGGTACCTCAAGGGTCAGTGCATGGTCCCCTTCTCTTCTCCATATACAAAAGCTCACTTGGTTCAATAATCCGCTCTCATGGCTTCTCATACCACTGATATGCTGACGATACCCAGCTCTTCCTGTCATTCCCGCCAGACAATGTAACAGTCTCTGCAAGAATCTCATCATGCCTTGCTGATATCTCTAAATGGATGAATGAACGGCACCTTCAACTCAATCTTTCAAAGGCTGAGCTCCTTGTCATCCCAGCCAGTCCCTCTATGCAACCACAGATCAATATCCAGCTTGGAACAACCAAACTCATGGTGTCATGATTGATGACCAGCTAACTTTTAAGGTTCAAGTAGCCTCGATTGCCCGGTCATGTAGATTTGCCCTGTACAACATCAGGAAGCTCAGACCTTACCTGTCACAACATGCTACACAGCTCCTGGTACAGGCTCTTGTGATATCACGCATGGACTATTGCAACTCTACTGGCAGGTCTTCCTACATGCACTATCAAACCTCTGCAAATGATACAAAATGAGGCAGCACGACTGGTCTTCAACCTTCCTAAAAGAGCACGTCACTCTGCTGTTCATCTCCTTACACTGGCTCCCAGTTACTGCTCACAACAAATTTAAAACTCTGCTGCTCGCTTACAAAACAGGGACAAAAACGGCTCCTCCTTACTTTAACTCTCTCATCCAGGTCTACACTGCCTCCTGCCCACTACACTCTGCCAATTAAAAGGCGTCTGATCCAACCTTCACAACAGGGTCCTAAGTCTCTGACTAGACTCTTCTCCTCTGACGCCCCCCAGTGGTGGAATGAACTTCCAAACTCCATTTGATCTGCAGAGTCCCTCTGCACCTTTAAGAAAAAGCTAAAGACCCAGCTCTTTCATGAATACCTACTAACTTAATGGTGATGGTCTCGATACCATTGATGATGATGGTGGTTGTGACGATTGTTTTTGTTTGATAACAACGACTTGATAAGATGGTTTCTATACTAATTAGAGCTCTCAAGAACTGCCGTCAATGTTGTGCTTTGCCTCTGTGCCTGTCAGCACCTGTGTGTCCAATCAGACTCAAAGCTGATCATTTGCACTGACTGACATTGTTTCCTCTTTTCTAGATCCTTGCTTGTGTTGTACTTACTCTCTGATGTACGTCGCTTTGGATAAAAGCGTCTGCTAAGTGAATTGTAGAATGATTGCAGGAAAGAACGGTTGTTGTCTGTTGCAGCTCTGACGGTAATACAACAATTTTAAGGCGCATTGAGCTAAAAGTTTTGATACTTGAACATTATGCAAATACCTGGTCTTGATGCAATGTGACACTCAGAGAGGAGTTTATGGGTAGAATGAGTTCTTCATGTCTCTTCCCCCCTGCAAAAGTAGCATGCATAGAGAGAGCTATTATATAGGCATATAATGAATCCATATAAACATGCTTGAAACAAATGCACTCGTTAATTGGCCCAAGTAAAGGTTTAAACAGTGTCATACAAACAGTGACCATGTTAACTGGAGACTTGCAGGCTGCAGCAGAATGAGTGTGTTTATCGTAGTAACAACATAAAGACGGAGTGTGTCCTCCTAACTAACGTTAATTATTTTGTCAATAAAGATACATCTGATGAATATGTTTGACTTCACAAATAAAATCAAAACAAAGCAGCATTAGTTCGGACACTTTCCGGCTCCTGCATCAGTTGTAACCTTAATATTTACAGTCTATGGTAACACCGGCTGAAAGTCACCGGTTGACACGGTCACCCTTTTAACCGAAACACCAGTATTCAGATGGACACGAAACACAAGTCACCATACAAGAACAAGATGCGTAATTAGTGATTAGTCTTATTTTAAGCTAGTTACACCTTCAGTTCAAGGCTACACATAAGTCGTGGTGATACTTACAGTATTTAATGACAGCTATATTCACAGGAGCGGTGCATGTCACTATATGTGGCTTGTCCACACAGTCTTCAGGCATATCTGTATTTTTAAACCGATGTTTGTTTTGAGAAGATCGTACCTGAATATTCTGAAATACACTGTACAAGGCTCCCCTCGAGTTCAGCTTACTATATTCATTTTAGTTGTAGCGTTTCCTGGAGGACTCTCTCGATTGGCGAGCGTAGAACATGTGACTAAGCCGTCCACCAATCAGAGCCAAACAGTGTTGCGGAAACGGTCTGAGTAGCCAATGAGAAGACATCTGACCACGGTGGTGCGAAATGGGGCAAGGACAGAGACCAACCCTCAAACTTGTAGGGTTGGTTGAGATTATTGTAAATTTCAGCCATTTATTAAAAATTATAATATTATTTGCACATTTATCTGATTGAATAATAATGTGATTTAACCAAATCAAAGAAAGGAATAAAAACACTGTGTTTAGCGAAAGGTGTAGTTAGATAGTTACAAGAGAAAACTTATTTTCAATGTTAAAACAGTGATGGCAGATATAACTTTGAAGTTAAATGATGATCAGGACTTAAGTACAACATGGAGATACTATAACTCCAAATCCATAATTTAGAGGCAAAAGACTTTTTTTTTAACTACAAAATCATTTGACAGTGAAACTTGTTTTGCAGGGCATAGTTGATGACCTTGAAGACTATTATTGTCATCATTCAACTACATAATAATGAGAAAAATAGTCTATATCAGCTTGAATTAAAGCAAATGTTGCTTCATGCATCAGTAATGCAATTATGTAAGTGATAAAGCCATTCTGCCAAAGAGCCTCTCTTTGAACCAATGTTGTAGATAATACTAAGGTACCCTTACTTGGATTAACTTTTATAGCAGTAAGGCTATTGTTGATCATTTTCATATTGTTTTAACAAGTTTTGTTTTACGTAAAGGATCATAACCTCTTAAACCAATGATAAGTCAACAATTTAGCAACCTACAGAAACTCCTTTTCTTGAAGAATGAGACGTTGTTCTCATCCACTTGGCAATGAATGAACATGCAATCGCAAAGCAACAATCTCAAAATATTTAAGTAAATTAAGGCACCACTAACTTTTAGGTTTTAAACAAAAATAATTAAGATACATTTTACCAACTGTTATTTTGTCACTTGCTTATTCTACCTTTGCTCATTACTGTATGCTGATTGAAGAAACAAAGCTTGCTTAACAGCAGCAGTAGTCTTATTGAAATGACAGGGTCTTTCTCACAGACGAATAATACAAATCATTATTTTTTTGCCTTTTATTTTAAAAGCAGTTGGGATACATTTGGGAATCGGTTAACTCTAGATTCAGACATGAAGTCCAATATTTGAGATTGTTGTTTCAAGAAAATAGTCAATCCTCAGTAAAGAGACAGTAAGTTCAGTAAATGTGGGACGATGCTGCAAGTTTTCTGTTCTTGTGTTGAGTGTACTCACAACCAGGATAACTGTGTGCCTTTACCCAATGGAACAGAATTTGTGAAAAGAAGAAAGAAAATAAACAGGACATTCATATGAAAACTGATAATTGTAGAAATTGTTCACCAGACGAACTTTAAGGCTTTTGTCAGTTCTTTTAAGTAAACCTTATAAATGTCAGTACTATTTGGAAGCTTTCCATTAATAGAGGACTGTGTAATGTATTCACAGAACAGTCCAAATAAATGTGACAGCCGCCTATTATCTGAATGTGTTTGTTTGATGAGCAGAATCCATGGTAAAATATAAAAAAAACAAGTAACTATTGAGAAGTATTGGTGGAGTCAAACAGCACCATGAGCCATCAGGGGTAATCATAAGCAGTGCACAGCTTTACCAATAGAGATCTTAAAAGAACACCTTAAATGAGCCTGTGTGTATGTACCCCCACCACTTATGCCACATTGATTACTCCACTCTGTTGGTTTTCCTTCTTGGCATACAGTATCCAGAAACACAGAATCTAGTGTGGCATCTCAGGATTCAGTTAGATAAGGGTGCTATCAAAGTCCCAGTAAAGAATGTCCTGGCTCTTTTCAGGCCTCATGTTCCAACGTATTAATCATCCTCATCATCAGAGTCCATCACCCGCCTTCTGTTGAACTAGAAAAAGAAAGGACAAAAATGTTGGATGAACCAATACGTGACAGTGAATGAAAATGATTTGATACTTTAATGAATCTCACTTTGACCGTTGTCTTCTTCTCTGTCTGCTGACTGACTTTTTCTAGAATCTCGATTAAACCTGTCTCAGAAATCTGAGAAAAGAGAAAATGCATTCATGACTTAGCTGGAATGTGAAGCAACGTTGACGGCATTAGTGCTGCAGCCATCAGGAGTCATTCCCTTACCTTTCCTCCTAACTTTCCAAAACGAGCCATTTGAATGAGATAGTTTTCAACTGCTTTGGCCTTCTCCGGTTTCACCAAAGCAAGGTTGCTCACTAAGAAAAAGAGAGAATATTTCATTGTGCTCACACTTGAGTAGTATTACATGTACAAATGTTACATTACACACAAAAGTTTTAATTAAACTCTTGTGTGTCAAAGCTCAGATAGGATATATATTCTGTATGGCACTTAGTAGGCCTGGACGATGAGGAAAAATGTTATCATGATAAAAAATGTCATAACAGTTATCAGTCATTATAATTATCGATAATTATCATTATCAAAACACCCAGACCTAGCACTTAGCTTTGTTAGAATGAACACATTTTGCTGTTATTCATATCTAGAACATTCTTAAAGCTGGCACGCTGGTAGTAACTTGGCTATAGATAGTACTTGCTCAATTGATCGATGACTCCTCAACACAATAATTTATTTTCAGAACATAGTAATAAATATGTAAGCAGTCTTACATCTGGCACGGGCAGACTGGTCAAGAACTTGAGCCAATATAGAATTCCTCATGTCCGTTTCTCTGTGAATTAAAAGTAAAAATATGAGCACAGGAGCACAACCTTTGTAACCCATTTCTACGTTGATAATTCACAGCACATAAGCTCTTTAATATACAGTATTTGAATGCCCTTTATGTAGTTCATGTTAAATATAGTGTAGCATTAATAGGACAAAATTTGATATATAAAATTAATGACATATTAGATCACTATACTTGTAGGCTGTTGAAATAACACATTAAACACATCATACCTTTGTTTGGCCTCCTCTCCTTGTTGATTATTTGAAGCATTCTGAAAGAAAGTAAACATACAATGACATACTGTAGGTTGTATAATTCAACTTAGTGAAGGGAGTAAAACTCGATATAGAAAAATAATTCTTACACAACACCCTTGAGTTTGGTAATGGCCTGACATGATAACTTAATGCCAAAAAAGTGTTTCCCTATGATTATCATGATATAAGTTCTGTTTGATTGATTTCATTACACTTCTTGGTAAGCATTTCACGAATACATTGAATTTAGATATGCACTGGGATGGACCCTTTAAAAAGGTGAAATGTAAAGTCGTCAGCACTCCGTAGTGCAGGGATGGGCAACTTTGGTCATGGCAAGAGCCACATTCAATTAATTCTCCCTGCCAAAGGGCCAAATTGTAGTATACAAAAACGATCAATTATGAATAAATTATTTTAAAAAATCAATATCTCTCAAATTTAACTCAACATATGTCAGTGATCAAATATTATTATGGACGTATTTCTGGTTTTCATAGCAGATTTTGTCACATTTTCTTCATGTTTCCAATTCATTGATATGTAAAAATTGACCTGAGGGCCACATTGAGGGTTGATGAGGGCCGCATGTGGCCCCCGGGCCGCCAGTTGCCCACCCCTGCCGTAGTGGTCAAAGAATGTGAGGTGACACTGATGTTTTTAAATATTTCAAAAAGTCATCTGTCTTTCTGTTGTAATGTCTTCTACTACTTGTCTGCCAGTATCTACTCCAGGTCTAAATGATCTGTGATGATAAGTTCACATCTTGTAAAATTAACACACTGATCTGTCGTGCTCTGCTAAACCCTGGGTGCAATATTGTGTACGATTTATGTCACTTACATCACTGTGTGTTAAATTAGATTAAGCCTGATTGCTTTGACTGAAATCTGATACACTGCAGTGGTTAACATATCATAATGTAGGCCTATTAACCCATCCTGCCATCTCACATAGCGCACACCAAACAGAACATCTATGAAAATACTCCACCCAGACTAGACTCATCAGTTTACTGAAAACTAGAATCATCTTTTTAAACCCCCTTTGTTTCATTTGTTTCAGCTAGCATTGGTTGTTATCAGAGGGGTGTGTGCTGTCAAGCTAGCGGTGAGGAGATTTTGTCTTTTTTTATTTCTGTTTATTTCTTGTCTCTCTACCGACTGGCATAATATCATGTTGCATGCTATCTCAAGTGAGCTTCACGTATCCTCCAAGTCGACACAGTTGAGTTGTGGTGACTAGTTTAGCTACAGCAGCGTTAGCTAGCAGCTCACTGAACTCAGCACCTCCTTATAAGGCGGACACACACACACACACACGTTTCACAGCTTTTTGTTCTTACCCCGTGCTTTGCCTGAAGCTCCGCCATCCTCTGTTGCCTTATAGCCTCTAATTCGTCGTCGGCCATGGTTTACAACAGTTTTGTAGACTCAGAAGAGTAAAAAACGAGGTGATCTAATATAATGCACCCTAAACTGGCATCAGAAGGTAAGGCCCTGTGGCTCAGGGGTGGGTAATCGAAATTGAAGCTATCGATCGAACACACAGGGTAAAGCAATCGAGAAGAGAGTTAGGTAACCATGGGTAACACCGGGAATCACCATAGACTGTAAATACACATCGCAGTCTAAAAGGTTTGAGAACCACTGACCTATGGGTATCTTTTTACAGTCTGTGGGTATCACACATTCTCACCCAGCGGCAACCTCCGGTCCTGAAATATAATAATAACAGTAATATTTATAGTCTATGATTATCACACATATCACACCGGACAAAGATGTTGCGTTCACTATATTTGAAGATATAATTGAGGAATTCATGCAATATTTTTGCAAATTAGCTATGCAGTAAATCCGTTTTTAATAGTCGGCTAGTTATACAGAATTTGACTTCTAGTCTTTTTATTTTAAAAGAATGATGATGTTTTTGAATAAACAAAAGTATTTACAGTAAGCTACATGTATGATTGGAAAAGACCAACATATTTGACAAAAAACACCTAGTTTAATAGGTTTATGAATTTACAAAAACTATAAGAAACTGATAAAAAAAAATTGAAGGATTATTTAGAATAAACAACTATGAATGTTTAGCTGGTGCTTAGATGAATGTTCTTGATACATTTACAACCCAGTCGCATGTCAAAATGTGTAATACCTACGTTGGTCCACAGCGCAAAACAAAACGTAGTAGTTTCACAATAACGGTTCTAAAATTGTGACATGTCTACGTTTGTCTGTTCTTTTGTATAGGTATACCTCAGGTCACGTGACTGCCAGGTTTTCCCCTGGTGAAAAAAAAACATGGCGGACATCCCTTCTATTTTCTATAAACTCCTATGCAATAAATAATGATTTCTGTTACATTTTTATGGATCTCTTTCATTACAACCACATTTGATAAAACGATTGGAACAGATTGATGCATATTAGCAACATTATAAACTATAACATGTAACAATACATAAAGACAATACTGTACAGTTTGTGTGATTTATATGATTTTATTTAACAAAATAATCCTGACAGATTAATACTATCTTTTAAAACAGGTTTGATTTGACCACTTTTTTACAATATATATAGTCTAGATTATTTTACAAAACCCATTCGGCTTTAGTAAATATTCGATATAGTGGGTAGATATACATTTTTTACAACCCTAATTATGTTCCCTATGTGCACAACGCCAGACATAACCACCAAAATTCCCGTTTCTAGAATAACAGTCAAAATATCCAAAATTAACTGATCTATGTACTTTATTTTAACATAGATCATATATGTATTATGCAATAAATACTTCGGCCACACGAGATCCATGACATATTCAGTGAATATATCTTTTGTAAGCCTTTTATAATCCTAGTTACAACCTTTTTGTGGAAACGGAAAAGACTACAATTATGGCGCCATTCAGCATCAAGCTGTATGACTTGACTCTGAGGAATTGTGGTCTTTTAGACAAATCTCAGTGTTTCCCTTACATAAGAAGTAATATATATATTTAATTGAGGGTACACAGGGGAGTTTAATTGGATGGTTAACACATTTATGTTATCAGATATTTAAAAATAATTGATACATTTGTTAAAATGTATTTTAACCATATATAGCAGCTCCCCCTGTTGTTTTGGTGAGCTGACTACCCTCACATGATACTTTGTTCCAAGACCTCTCTAAAACAGTTATTCCCATGTCTGTAGCCCATTTTGTTGCTGAGTTATAAGCCTTCAAAAGGCATTATTTCAAAACAGGGGTCATGTTGAATCATCTTCACATATGTTACTCTCCAGGATGAGACCTTTCCAACGATGTATGTTGTTCAGCTCTAAGCCAAAAACTTAAATATTCTCATTTCCTAGGCAAGGGGTCTTGCAGTCATACTTTCATAGAGCTCTTTCAAAGCCCAGTACATAAAATGTTTTTATTTTTATTTTTTGTTTGTTTTGGTGTAAGTATATCATAAAATCTGGGGAACTATAGGCTTGGAGGACAGCCTTAAGTGCTTGGTTTAGAATTATGGCTAAAAGTAAAAATCTCTTATGCTCTTTTCCATATTAATTCATCCTAGTACTTTTTTTATCCTTCTTTCCTTATAGAAGAGTTAATCTAATTTGTCATCATTCATTGTTTTAATATTCAGTTTAATGTCTTTCATAGAGCAACAGGGTTTGTAGAGGCCATTTTAATCATGATAACTTTAGTTTTAGAAGTATGGTTTAAGTTTGTGGTAATAGAGTATATTTTTTGTTTTGTAAGAAATAAGTATTAATTTGTGCGAAGTACTTGATTTATAGACATTTATTCTAGACATAGAAAGCTTTGTGGTGAATAATGGATTTAAGTGGGCATATTTTGGCAGGTATTTTGTGTTATGGGTGGAGCCGAGTTAATTAATTTGGGTGCAATGCACAGGTGGTGAGCAAAAAGGAGATCGTCTTTGTTTGCGGATGGTGGTGGAGGTATAGGAGCCACGCAGCAAATGTTTTTGATCGTGACCTTTTGTTATGAGTTTCGATATATTCATTTTGGATCTGTTCTGGAAAGTGGAATTCCAAATAAAATAAGAAATCAAGTGAAACAACGGATCTGTGAGTATATTAAGTGGACACGCATCAGGAACGAAGAGGTTGGCTCCTATGACACAAGTGACAATTTTTATATGACACACAAGAAGAAATTGCCACTACAGGGTTGAACAGGTCAAAAGGCTTCATGTCTCTGCTAGGCCTCAAATGGTCAAATTAGCGAGTTTTTAACATCAGTCTTGTTCACAAAGCATACAGCATAGTGGAGAATGACCCTCTGTCTTTTGGAACATTTCCACACTTTTTAACACCCTTTTTTGATTCAATTAAAAGCTGAAAGGAAAGTGTTCAGATATCACATGCAGTGTTTGGCGTTTGAATTCTACTGATAGTCTGAAGGTAACATACTGATTATCCAGCTTCTTACTAATAAAATGATGCATCTTAAACCACCTCTCCATACTGTTGCTCAGTCTCTGACAGTTCCTGGTTGTGGTCGGTAGGTGGCAGTGTTGGCTAAACCACTCTCTTCCAAACGCAGTAGGTCAGGATGCTCACAGCCAAGGCCAGCAGAGTCCAACAGCACATCTTCACCTGGCTCTCCAAGCCCTGCTTTGCTCCAAAGTGGGACACAAAGCCGCTCTGTCAACAACAAACAAGTAGATTGAACTGTCAATGAACACAGACATGTACTGTAATCATTCAGATTTCTAAGGAACACATTTTAACCTGAATTCTTACTTTAAATCAGAAAGATTGTTGATACAACTCGGATTAAAAAGTCTCAAGAAACCTGTATTTTACAGTTATGATTTTACCCAATTAGTTTGTAGATCTCTAAACACAATTAGGACAGCTGTTCGTGTTGTTACTGAATATACTAAACACTTAATAAAAGAATCTGAATGTTCTCTACATGTTTGTGTGCTCCTGCAGCAGCAGCTCAACAGATATGACTGAAATTTTTATCAAAAATAAATCATTGTGGGAAAAAGCAGATTCAAGTTACATGAAAAAAACATGCAGACATTCTCTGGGGCGCCATTAAACCTTCAAGCTAAAGCTAATGTTCCTGTACCTATACACAACATCATTGCCTTTTGGGTTATACTTTCTTTTTTACAAAAGTTTATTTCTTTATGTCTTTATTTGAGATACAGGGCAGTGGGAGATAGAGTAAGAAATCAGGGCGAGAGAGTGGGGAACAACAAGCCGCAGGTCGGATTCAAGCCTTGGACTGTAGACTCTGTACATGGGGCGTGTTGATGAACCACTGTGCTACCGGCGCCCCTCTTTTGGTTATTCATAGACCTCTACTCTTCTTTATGAGACAGTAATCTTGTGTTTTTGTTTTACACCTTATAACAACAGACCATTTTCTCTGTACATGAGAATCATTTTACTCCTAATCTCCTGAAAATCCCAGTGTAGCATATTTTGAAAAATGAATGACAGACGATTAAAATAAAAAAATAAACTCATTGGCTCAGGGATGACAATGAAAAGTATCCCAAGTAAATATATTTCTAGTAAGCCTCTGATCAGACATCTTCTCAAGCCTATTCCTACACCGGAGTATTTTGAAATGTGTGTCTGAGGTTAGATGTGGAGTGTGCATTCAATTAACAACTTCGGTTTGAAGCCAAAAATAAGCTTTTTGTTTTGTCGAGTAATGTAGGTAGGTAGGTTGCTTTCTCAGAGTTTAGAAAAGGATATCTGAGATATTGAAAAACTGTAGTGTGCCGTCTTCAGGTTTCACAGCTCAGATTACTTCAGATGCTCTAAAGGCCCGGAGATAACAATAAGCCATGTCATCATTTCTGAACTGATTTTTTTTAATTGTATCATTTAAAAATATGTAAAATGAATAGCTCTCATGCAGACATCTACCCGATCTTTAGTGGGACCCAATGTCTCATCAAGTAACATTTGATATATTTAACATATTTAACATGAAAATAAACAACATTTTATAGTTCATTATGTTGCTAATATGCATCGATCTGTTCCAATCGTTTTATTAAATTTGGTTGTAATGTAAGGGTGTCTAGGGTCTAATGTAACCCGTTTTAAGAGCCGTGAACCGATCGTCCACTTTCTTCCGGTTCGTTGTTGATAGCGTCCATAGCAACCACCAAAGCAACAGTAAAAAACGTAACAACCCAACGTTTCTCTATCGAGACCTGAAAGAATCTTCGTAGAAACAAACAAACTAAAGATCATAAAAAAAACCGTTGTATAAATAATATCCACTTCTTAAATTTAAATGTTGTTCTTTGACTTGTTTCAACACAGGAGAAGAGCTTTTTTTCACACCAAAGTTCCTGGACCTTAAGAAAGTACTAGCCCCCTATCAGGGCCTTTTTTAGGGGTAGATCTTTTACCCCAGAACTTAATGTAGATCCTGCTTCCTGTGGTGGAAATGCACATAGTTCCTCTAAAGGTCCCTAGTTCTGGGGGAAAGTTCATGTGGTCCAAAAGGGGCTTCAGAGCTGCATTAT